CAAACAGCCTTTTATTTAGCATCTTTTAATCATATATTCTCTGCTTATGACATTAAAAAGGATTAAGTGAAGCACTGATTTTTGGAAGTGGTAGAAGTACTGAGTTACTTTAGTTAAGTAAAAGCTATGTGCAAAAGTTATGTGCCTTTACTTGAGCAAACGTACAAAAGCATTACTATCAAAAAAAAAGCTTAAAAAGTAAAAGTGCCCATTGTGCAGAAACCACAGTTGTAAGATGAATGTAGGAGTATAAATAGTACAATATTTGCCTTTGCAATGGTAAAAGATTAGAAGTACAGAGTAGCGGCAAATGGAAATACTCAAGTGAAGCACCCCAAAATTGTACTAAAGTAAAATATTTGAGTAATTTTGACTTTCTGACACTGTCTTTGGGTTATGATACACGTATTGGTGCATTCCCTAGACTGGTTTTAACAGGCACAGTAACTGATATATATGTTTATTTTTACTGCATGTTTGTACTGGCATTACACTGCGGGTGGTCGTTCAGAATGAAAGTAGAACTCTCACTCATCTTTCACTTGTCTTTGCAGTGATTTTTCTTCCCTGTTTTGAAGCTGACAGTACTCTGACCTCTTCTTTAAAAAAACAGCAGTATTATAGTTCAGAAAAACCTGGTTATGTTTGCTCAAAAGATCTGTATTCCCTCTAAAGGTCTGCAAATGTCATTAGCAACCGCAGTGCAGATTTGTTTATCAGAGTCAGGTAAAAAACACAAAAGAAAGAAAGACAGACAGACAGAAAGAAAGAAAGAAAGAAGACCAGGTATGGAAAGCAGTACCTGAAATTATGAACACATCATTTACAACTGAGTACTCTTGATTTTTCATATGTAGCATCTCGTGAAATGGATCAAGGTTAGAATAACTACAACATAAATAGTACAATAAATTCTTGTGTATCTGCAGCTGCCAGTGTGTAGTTAAGCAGTTGAATGCCCTTCACATTTGTTTTTCTTTTGCCATCATCAGTCTTACACTCCGGCTCTACAATGGTGCCCCCTTGAGCCCATTACAGAAATAATAGTGAAGCAAATGCAGCTGATGACATTTATGACTCAGGAGTTTAGTTTTTTTCGTTTGCATTGAGACACTATAGTTTAAAAAAAAAAAAAAAAAACATTCTTTTAATTTATATTGTTTAAAAATGTGTGGGTTTATAACTCAGTAGAGCATTAAAAACCTCTGAATTGCACCAAAATCTGCAAACAAGGAGAAGAAATATACATCCTCCTATTCCCTAATTAATGTACAAATATTAGCCACGGAAGGATACATACAAACACACAGCACAGTACGCCCAGCGGCTGTTCCATACATATATAGAGTTGTGTGATGTAATATTATCTCTGGGGTCGCTTATGTGCAGACTAATGCATCACCAAACACCCTCAGAGCTTGATCAAATCTAACAGGAGGAAAACAGCGTTCCCCGAGCAGTTATCAAAAGTCCTAGAGCAAACACACAAAACACACAAGACACATAAATTAATTCTCTGATAAAAACTCTATATATCAACACGCAGTTCGAACAGGCTTCGCACATCATCTAAAAGGAAAAGAATTCTCTGCTGCTCTCTGGACGGCAATCAGGCGAAGATCACACCCATTAAACAGGCACCCATCTCCAACAAAACAACACCTGAGGCAAAGTCAGACAGGGAGTGTGAAGGTAAGGAATGTTAGTGTGTGAGTGGGCACTGATGTCTCCACTGTATATGTGTGGACTTGTGCAGATCTGGCAGAAACACCAGGTTATGTAAGCAAGTGGGAGTGAGGTGCTGACTGGTATCTATGGAAACAATAACAGCAAGGAGAGACGGATAGTTCACCAGCTGACGAGGGTTCACCAGTGGAGAGCGTAGGAGGTCTAACACAGTTTCTGCTGCTTTCAAATGTGCAGATGGACTTCAGTAACATTTTACTGAGCTAAACAAAGACATTAAAGACTGACATGCACACAGCTGTGTCTCCCTGATTTGATGGTTGGACAAAGCATTTCTTGCACTGGTTTAATGGGGCTGGTGTCTCATCACAGTGCTCGACAAGGGCTTTGCATGAAGAACGGAAGAGTGGTGCTTCTTAATCGCACTGTCCTATTAGAAGTAAACTTCCAAAAACATGTTTCTTAAAGCGGCAAGACGCCATGCAAGCAGTGGAGCAATCATCTGAAGTAATGAGAGGAAACATTACACTATTCGTCAGTCCTAAACTCTGTTCTGTTAGAACTGTACAGACGAAGACATGGGTGGGATTAAAGAGCCTGTTGACAAACAAACAGTCAAACTTCAAGGATCAGAAAGGACAAGCGTGGCTTGGATAGACATTAAAGAGACCTCTCTAAAACTGGGAAAACTATTTATACAGGATTTTGAAAAAAACTCACAAAAAGGATTTTATAGATGAAGAAAACTCAAGCTGTTTAAAAATGGTAGCTGATGATGAATCAAACTCTTTTTTCTTGTCATTGTTCCATAAAGTTTGAAGGTACATCAACAAGCAAAGTGCTTTTTAAGCTCTGCAGTGTGATGGAACTGCCTATTAATGAAAACTAACTCAGATACTTGACTAATATTTAAACATGTTTATTAAAAGTTTTGTTTTGGTCTGACGATACTGAATGACAATAAATAAAGTGAATTTTTGCCCCACTCAAGTGGTGTAGTAAGTATGTTGGTGCAGAACCAAAGAACCTATGGTGGTGCAGTGGTTCACTGAATGCATTATAATACCCCACCATGTATTTAATGACATACATGTGACCAGAAAAGCGTATTACATCTAAGCCCATACAAAATCCCAAGGTCTCATTTTGAAGCTGAATTCCCTTGTAACTTAAATCAGCCAACTGATTCTTTATGTACTTTATGATAACACTTACTTGTACCACTCCGGTACCCTAATTTAAACATAAAGTAAAATTAAACAAGGGAAGAACAGAGATATTCCACAATCCCCAGAGAGGATTTGGGAATTGGGGACAAAAAAAAATGAAGGAGTCGCAGGGACGTCAAAGAAGCACAGTGCTGTGACACACATGACGAGCTGTCTGTGTGTGTGTTACTTGTAGCGTTAAGTCCAGACACAGAACAATGGAGTTAACTGGGTCGCCGTTGCTGACTGGCTGTGCCAAACAGCTGGAGAGATGAAGAGGGAGTATGATTGAGTCATGGGGAAGGAGGGGAGGGAGGGTGAGGAGGAGGAGGAGGAATGGGCCTGAAATACAAGCATGAACAGATCAGGCTTGGGAGGAATACTGGGCAAAGGGGAGAGGAATTAACTTCACTGCACACTCACTAAAGTATGTGGCTATTCATTACAACAAAAATGTCAACACAATGTAAAAAAATAAAAATAAAGAAACATCAAAATCAGTATGCATGATCCCATTTTGCCAGATGACAAGAAATGAAGGAGCCCACACCAGTGCTGCTGCCTGCTGTCTGGCTGTGTATGAGTGCATGTAAATAATACATGTTCAAAAACTGGCTTTCTCTCACAAAACATCCAGGCTGACTCCTGGACATCTCAGCTGTAGAATAATAAAGTGCACAGCTACTCAGGCGGGATGATGCACGCCACTGGACCATGACCAATTTAAATTTAATAATATGCAGGCTGTGTTTTAATCCACAACCCATGACTGTGGAAGTGAGGAAAAACATCACATCAGACACGGTGGGAGACACACAAAACACAGCGAGACGTGCATGTGTTAAGTTCTGCTATACCACGAGGTGTAATATATTTTTATAATGCACCCCAAAATGTATTCATTTGCAAACAGCCATGGTGACCTGCCTGCTGTTTCATAAATGTGAGCCGCCGAGCTAGTAGCTAACATGCGATGTAGCATATTATCTTCCACCGCCATCATGAAGTGTGTATTTACAATCAGCGTCGCTGTTAACGTAATAAAGACTGTTGCTCGGCTAACGTGTCTCACAAAGCAACGAGGCTTTGTCCGCTGTGTGAGTGCTACCAAGGAAACGAGGAAGCGTGTTTAGGTTAGTCACATTTTCTTTACTATACCGGGTGCCGACTAGTATAACCAGCTAAACCAATAGCTAACTCGGTAGCTAAAGAGCTAGTACAAGCCCCGGTGGTAGTTACAGCTATCGATGTTATCAAGACATTGCTCGGGTGCCTTTGTAGTCAACGCTGAGCCATAAAACACCAGCAGACATAACGCTACCGCGACATTAAACTCAACTGTACCTTTTCTGCGTCGACCTTGGCGACTACAGGATCATTTCCTGGCACCAATTCTTTGTTTATGTGATTTGGTGGCTTGTTTTCATCAATCCGCCTCGTCTCTCTCCTCCAGGAGTCGTGCCGCCCCGGCTGACAGCACTACTGCTCGGGATGACAGGGCCCCGCCCTTAGCAACCAATCAGAGGCCGTGGAGCTGGAAACTGAGGCAGGGTGCTCTTCCTATTGGTCAGCGATGGCGTCCATCAACGTGTCGCTAAGGGCGCACCTTGCTCCAAGGGCAGGACACCTGCCAGGCAGGGATGCTGAGCGCCGCAGGTGCGTCCAAACCAAGTGATCATAGAGCTAAGGAAAGAATTTAAAAGACACTCTGTAGCGTGATAACAGGCTCGTTTAGCACAGACAGCTGCTCAACTAAATGACAAAGTTAAGTTTTTTTTTTTTTTTTT